AGTAAAATATAAACAGTAATAAAAACTCTACCAAAAAAAAAAAAAAAAGCCCAGGACCAGTGAATTTACTGCTGAATTTTACCAGAACTTCAGGAAAAAGCAAATGCCAATAATCCTCAAATACATCTATGAAACTGAAAAGGAAAACTGAAAGACTCTTCCCATGAAGCTAGCATTACCCTAATATCAAAACCATACAAGTACTAAGAAACAATAACAACAAAAATTTCAATATTCTTAATGAATATAGACATAGAAAACCTTAACAAGATACTTGCAAACAATAAAATAAATCAATATTATCAAATCAATATTGTAAAACCAATGACCAAGTCATTTTAATACTAATGACACAAGGATGGCTCAATATAGGCAAAATAATAAATGTAATATACCACATACACAGAGGTAAGTATAAAAATCACATGATCACCTCAACATAAACAGAAAAAGCCTTTAACATAACTCAGCATCCACCTATGATCAAAACCCTGATGGAAATAGGATTACCTTACTTTAAACCAGTAAAGCCACTTATGACAAACCCACTGCCAATAGCATACTAAATGGAGAAAAACAAAGAATTCCCTCTAAAATAAACAAGACATGGCTATCCACTCTTGGCGTTCCAGAGAAAGATTTGAATAGAATAGACTTCAACAGAAAGAGAAGAAGTCAAACTGTTCTTATTTTCACATGACATGATCGTTTACATAGATCAAAAAATTCCATCACAAGACTCTTAGAACTAGTAAACAAATTGAGTAAAATGGCAGGATACAAAATCAACACAAAAGGCAATAGCATTCCTGACACCAACAATGAACCCACTGAGAACTCAAGAGAGAAACCACATTTATGGTAGGCTCAAAAAAATTATTACAAATGAGCCTAGCTAAGGATGTGAAAAATCTCTATAACAAAACTGTAGTGTCCCACTTTGAAGATATCAATATGTAATACAACAAGCATTGTTAATTTCCTACCAGTTTGTTTGTAACTCTGTATTGTCTGTACTGTTCTTTTGCTATTTTGTAAAATGTTGTCTGTCTGTTAATGTTTTCCTCCTTTTATTTTTAAAATTAAAAAAAACTGTAGTGTTGTGAAAAACTGAGATTATAGGGGACATTAGAAAATCAAATGATAACCAATGTTCTTGAATCAATATTATCAAATCAATATTGTAAAACTGGCCATATTACCAAAAATGAAACATATACTAAAATTTCTATTACAATACCATCAACACTTTTCAGAGAACTAGAAAAGAAATTCTTAATTTTTTCTAGAACCAAAAGAAAAAGCTGGGGATTTAGCTCAGTGGTGCAGTACCTGCCCAGCAAGTGTGAGGTCATGAGTTCAATTCATGCTAACACCTCCCCCAAAAAAGAACCAAAAGGAAGCCAGAATAGCAAAAGCAATCAAGCAACAAGAGCAAGCCAGAAAACAATACAATCCCAGGTTTCAAGTTAAACTACAAAGCTATAATACAAAAAATAGTACAGTACTGGCACAAAAACAGACATGCTGACCAATGGAATAGAATACTAGATGCGAAAACAACCCTGGCCACCTTTAGCTATCTTATTTTTGATAAAGCTGCCAATCACATATGTTGAGGGAAAAAAACCTCTAACAAATGTTTCTAGTTGTTGGCCCACTCAAGGGGCCCAAGAGAGATTTTTGAGGGTAAGCCTCAAGGTTAAAGAACACACATGTGCAAGACATCAGCAACAACAGAAGACAGCACAGAGCAGAAAGCCAGAGCAAGTGCACAAGAGTGAGACTTGCTTGGGTCTTTATTGTATAATTCTTATACATGTTGATAGCTCATATTTACATTCTTACAGAGTGCCATAACCAGTGCATGCATGTTGACCTGTGCTAAGTCATGATTACATGACTGTATTCCACTGTGTGCCGACACTAGACAAACAGGATCATGTCTTCAGGTATCCTTAGATGCCTCTGAGCTTTGAAGCAGTCTGAGTAGTTCCCCACATCCCACTCTCTCAAAGGTCAAGGGTATATAAACATAACATTATGTAAAAGGGCATAAGTACCTATAGTTAACAAATCAAAAACCACGTGATTTTGCAAAACCATTTTTTCACTTGAACACTTTCATCCATAGGCAGCATCAAAGCCTGGCATGTAACATTCAAGGCCTGGGCCATATGTTGAGCAAGGCTTCAACTTGGAGGGCTAGGTCCATGGTCCTCAGCCCTGGTCAGTGTTATCTCCAGTCAGATGCTATTCCTAGTGGCATCCCACATGCAGCAGTCAATTTTCCTGATCAGACGTTATTCCTAGTGGCATCAGCAGTCAGTATTTCTGGTCAAATGCTATTGGTAGTGGTCAACCATTGCAATTCCTAGTCAAGGCATCTGCTAAGTCATTTCCCAACAAGAGGAGGGGCTTATGCCTTGAAACATGATACCCTACATTGTCAGCTTTTTGGCCATGCTCCCATACACCTCACCGTAGCTCAGCACTCCATGAGGGACAGTGCCCTATCTGTCACTGGCCAAACCAGCAGTCTGAGCATTAGCCCCCTCAAGATGGCCCAACCGTGTATGTACACATATAGGAGGTCTTTTATGTATCACAGGCAATTGCACTACCCACAACTTTACCCATTGGCTTGGCCTGTCTATTCCAGTTTCAAACCAGAGTACTTCTGTATTGCGCTGCACAGCTACCACTATCTATTGCAGAGTTTTGTCACAGATAGATCCAGCATCAACTGGAGGCCCCCCCTTTCCCTTTTGTATAGAAAATAGGGGTCATGTCCTGCAGTCCATCCTCCTGGATCAGTGTCTGGCCCATGTACATCACAGTTCCCAAAACCGTTGCCAGTTTGGCTGCCAACAGGCTAGCTAAGAAAGAGGCCCACTGTTGGAGGTACATCTCCCAATTCATGAGAGCGGGAGCCTGTGCCATCCCATTCCTGGGACAGGCTGCCCACATCTGTACCCAGCCCTCTATCTGTCCTGTGATTCATCACAAGCATGTGGAGCAGTGTACAGTGCTCTTGTTTCTCAATCAGGGAATGCAGCTCTTGGCTCCCTCCCACAACTGTGAACAAAACACAACACTAACTATAGTGACACATACGTAGCATATACATCACATAATTTTTTTGTTAAAAGCAGAGGTCTGAATCTAAAAGAAAACGTCTATCACCATAAACATTCCTTATTTTATTTTTTGGGAGACCTGTACATCTGAAGGCGTGAATACATTTAATACACCATGAGATTAATAACAATCAACTGTCATAGCCATGTGAAAACTTTTGTTTCTTAATTTAGTTTTGTACCAAGAGCATCTTAAATAAGACCATATTGTTTTATTTCTAGAACACTTAACCTTTTGATGATTACCAGTGTAAACATATCACAATAATATATTTTGAGCAAAATGTTTGAGGTGTCTCCCAAAATGCTATGGAGAACATGGAGCCTCCAATTAATGAACAAGAACTGGCAGCTGCTTTGTTTTTCATCAACTGGAGTCCTATCCAACAACCTCCCCCCAATCTAAGGGATTTCTGTTTAATGATCTCTTTTTGTTCGTTGTTCTTTAATTATCTTAACAAATTTTGATGGCTTATGAAAACCAGATTGTACCATTTCACACATTATTTTTGAACAATGAGAAACTCTCAAATCATCATACAGCAATAAACAACAATATGCATTACACTTATAAAACCAATTTAAGATCATTTTGACTAGCTGACAATTTTGATGGAAGCATATCAGACAAGTACTTTAAAAATCCAAAAATGCAAACAGAAGAAAAATTCGTTGAACTCAAATAAAACAGCTGTTTACAGATTGAACACACAGATGAACAAACAAAATATACACATGGACAAACAAAATACATAGAACAAATCTGTTTACAAAATCAGAGTGCACTCATATATTCTTTATCATATTGAACTAACAACTCTTTTAGAATTTGGAAATATGTAATTGTAAATAGGCTACTCAGAATTTTTGTAGGTCAATTAACAGAGATCTCTTATAAGAACAATTTGGAAGAAATAAAAAATAAATTTCCCCTACAAAAATACTGCCAACTTTCATATTCTTTCATGTAGTGTCTAGCTCAGTTATCTCCACACACTGTCACATACTTAGACCTTTTTTTCTAACAGTGTTCTCTGTAAGACTTAATAGAATTTAGGTTAACATTATCATTTAGTTAAGCTCCCTTTGCCTTTGTCCTTAATATACCTTTTATTGGTGCAGCACCCTACACCCTGCTCCTGGGTTGCTATGACTATGCCCAAACAGTTCCCTGCTAGCTGAAAATGCTGCAGCCATCAGTGATGTAAAAATGGGTGTATGTCCAAGAAAAAGTGGGTGCCAGTGTTATGAACTAATTGAGTCTTAAAGAAAGGTGATCTGTGTCTGTCCATCAGCTTGGAGACAAAGGTACAGTTGCCCCCGGGTGCCCCAAGCCATGACCTGCAGCCCACGTTCCTCGCTGCAGCTGACACAACACAAAGCAGATGGTTCAGTTCCTCCCACCTCCCTTGTCTGGGCCAGTGTCCAGGTTCAGCAGCATAACTCCTTGATTTCTTTCCTTTTTTTTTTTTTTTTGTCTTTTTGAGACAGGGTTGCACTATGCAGTTCAGGCTATTCTTTTCTAATCATTTGAAGCCATAACCTGTTGTTCTATGAGCTCTAAAAAACCCAAGGTAAAAGAAGTTGTAGTTGCTTGTTTTAGTTGTTTTAAGGTCTTAAAGCGTACTGCTTCCTGAAGACATAGAACTTGTTCTGGATCAGTGGGCTCTTGGACTTCAGTAACTGGGAAGACATGTTGAAAACCCTCCAGGGATTTTAGCACCCCAGCTTCTTTTAGCACCAGTTCCCCCCCCCCAGCTTCTTTTAGCACCAATTGCAAGAGAGAAAAATAGGATGACTTTATCCTATGAAGGACAGAAGTATCAGCGTGTGGTACAGCAAAATTTTTGTGAACTGAGAAAGTGGAAGTAGCTCCTTGTGGCAGTTAAGGTTATCAGTTTTACTTTGGGTGCCTATGAAATGGAAGTCAGAGGAAAATACTCCTCTAGTGGGGTCTTCTCTGGCCCACCACTCCTTCCTTGTCTGATTAAGCAGAGCTAGAGGATTCCAGCTCTACTGGGAGGGCTTTTGCTCCACTATCCTTTTTGCTTGGGGCTTAATTTTAAGATAGGGTTCCAAGCTAAATCTTCTGTGGTTGTCTCAACAGGCATACAATCATCGAGACACTCGTTGATCCAGAGCCACAAAAAAGGTAAATATGGGAATCAATAGTACAGTAACCATTTCTATATACATCGGTGGTTCTTGAGAACCTGTTTGCCCCATGTTTTACACCTGATGATGGGATCAATATTGATGATATTGATGGGACCAATATTGATATCAATGCACCTTTCTCCATTTTGTGCACAGAACTAAATGTACTCTCTTACCTGCTGCAGGACAAGTCTCCCTGTACCCTGGGTCCCTGTTCAGGTGTCAAAATGCTGCATCCAGCACAGTTCTCAAAAATTCCCAGGTGAAGGGCCATGAAAAAGTGAAGGCAAGAGTGAAATACAGAAAGCTGAGGTCAGGTGGAGTCCTCTCTCAGTGGAGAAAAGAACAACCCAATGACTGCAGTGCATTTATTTATACACGCAGCAGGTTGATGTCAGGTGAAACCCCTCTGCCTAACAACGTGTTCACCTAGCTCACCTTGGGTACCTCATGTTCTTGGGACGGGCCTTGCTGTAGGCTCACATGTGTGACCAATCCTCAGCTTCAGCCACTCCCCACAAGAAAAGCTTTCTTCAGACTGTGCACAGCAGCTATCAAATCTGCAAGGCAATCAGAGGTTAACATAATATTAATACAGTGAAACAGACATGCAGATTGTGACCTGGTCCAAATGGCCAGGTCATGGGCCATCAGGTCATGACACAAAGTCAGGCTGTGCAAATAGCCTTGTGACAGCATCTGGAAGGTTCACTGTCTGCCTTCTTGGGTGAAGGCAAATTGATCCTGACTGCCAGCATCAGGATAAAATTTTACTGTCATTCACAGAACCCATCTGGCTTCTCTATGGGCCATACTGAAGGACTGTGTGCAAGACATATCACCCCTGCTTTTTCCAAATTCAAGACAGTCTGTCTCAGCTCCTCATGGCCTACAAATAACCAGTACTGCTTCACATACACAATTCACATGGCCTGTGAGAGAGTCAGCGGTTGCATGGTGTGCATGGCCTCAGACTGTTCTCACCACAGGAATTCGTCACCAGAATCCTCCCTGCACGGTGCTGAGCTGAGCACCAGTCAGTATGTCGACCCCCAATATGTATTCAGCAACCAGAGAAACATAAACACAGGGGTGTGGGAGCAAGTGCCTGGTACCCAAGAGGCTTTCTGGATCATGATTTAGTGACCTCTGTACACTTTTATACATGCACTAGCTGCTGTAAAATGGTCTGGGTTGCTGTTGCATTGACTCTGCTCCAGTAGCCACCAATTCCAGTACACACTGCACAATCTTTGGGAACCAGTAAATACTCCATTCCACAGGTGGCCTCCAGTCTCCCAGGACCCCCATGACACGGGTACCTCAGCCAGCCTCCTAATTGGGGTAAAGGGAGGGCAGTGTCACTTTGTCCTGCTTCACTGGGGCTGCTTTGGCCTTCTGGCCCTGGTCCATTGGCCAACATTGCTGCTCAAGGCGAAACTGCCTCCACAAAGTCAGCAACATATCCAAAGTCCGCCCATCTCAATTTCTACACCTAGGCCAGCAGCCAGCAGGTCTGTCAGATCTGGCGCCAACCAACCTCCAGTGGCCCCACAGCCTGTCCTTGGGGGCACAGCTCCACTTGCCTGGGACAGCCTTCTCTTTCTCCTTAGCTGATACATTTCTTACAGATCTCACCTTACCTTGGTGCTTCACTTCCATTTTTCCCAGACTGGCTAAGGCATACACAGCATCATGGACCAAGTGATCTGTAAAAGGAGTTAGAAGGGCTGTCACTGACCCTAACCTGCTAGCTGGCGTGCTCTCCAGGGTCATGTCCTTCATATGTGCTGTCAATAGTTCCTCATCTAAGCTAAGGTACTGCAGTGCAAGCAACATCTGCCACATGCCCATTTCATGTAGCACAGTTATGAAGCTTAGTGTCTTTCTCCAGCAGGTCACTTGGACTCTCCCAAACCAGGCAAGCCACTACCATCAACCAACTTATCACAGTCTTGTCCACTTCTGGGGTTGTCCTCTGCACATCCTTCAGAACCTGGCTCATAGATGGGGTTCTGGCCATACTGGCTATCCTGGCTGTTTGGGACATCACCTGTGGGTTTAACTGCATATCAACAGCCCCATCATCCCAAAGCCATAGCAGCCATGCAGGTCACTTTTGCTTTAAATGTTTTGTCAGCTCCCACAACTCCATGGCTGTATAGATTGTGTATGTTGTATGCCAGGCATGGGTAATCAGCCCTCCCAGTCCTCTTCCTTGGGCTAGGGGTTCCTCTACCTCCACTTTTTGATGAATAGCCAGCCTAGCAAGCAAAACCATGGAATTTTCCCAGGGTTTTCTCGGACATGAGGACTTCTGCTTCTGGAGACATTTCTGGAGGAGGCTTCCCACATCTCAAATCCTAAGCTCTGCAGCAGCCAGCTGTTGCTCAAGGTCCTCCTCTATCTGCTGCATCTGGTCTACTTGCTGTCCAAGGCCATCTGCCTCTTGATTTACACAGCAGAAGATAGTGACGAACAGCCAAGCCACCCACCCCACTGTTTCATGGTGAGGGGGAGGAATTTGTGTCTATTGCTTTCAAGGTTTGTAAGACATCCCTGGGCTTCAAACAGACTGGTTCCCAGTCCTGTGGGCCTTCCAAGCTGCCAAGAAAGTGGTTACAGATAGCCATGGCAAGGCTGGGCATTGCTTAACAGCCATTCCCCAGGGCTCTCCCTCGCCTTTGGGTGATGTTGCCACAGCCATCCTGTGACCACTCATCTTGTCCCACTGACTATGCCAGTTGTTGGCCCACTCAGGGGGCCCAAGGGAGATTTTGAGGATGAAGTCCCAAGGTTAAAGAATGCATGTGTGTAAGACATCAGCAACAACAGCAAGCAGCATGGAGCAGAGCAGAGAGCCAGAGCAAGAGCTGCCTGTGTCTTTATTTTATTTATTGTATAATTCTATACAAGTTATCTCATATTTACATTCTTACAGAGTACTGTAACCAGTGCATGTTTGTTGACCAGTGCTATGGTTACACAACTAATATGGTTACATAACTATATTCCACTATGTGCCTGCACTAGACAAGTTGAGTCATGTCCTCAGACATCTTTGGATATATGTATATTGCATTTTAGTCCTTTTCAATTCCCATTCCTTTCACTCCCTCCCATCTCCCTACATTCACAGATCCCTTTCCCCTCTGCAAAAGATCTGCTTGCCTGGTTTCTATCATACATCTTTTATTTTACACTTTAAATTATTTATATTTGGTTTTCTCATATAACAGAAACCATACAATATTTCATACATATCACATGGTTTCTCTAATACAAGAGGCCCACAATATAATTAATCTAAGGAGCAAAGTGAAAGAATTTCATAGAAAACAGGGAGGTAGACTTAGAAATGAGAAAAGCTCCCAGGAAGAAGGAACAGAAGAAAAGGGAATAAACAGTACAAGATGCAACATGTATATGTAAAAATCACCAAGATAAATGTAGTTATTATGAATTACACAGGTGTATTAATAAAACTTAAAGAAAATTTAAAACAAGTATAAATGACATTTTATCCACAGTATAAACCATATTGCTGGCCTGCCATTTGCTTAAATATATGGTGTGTTTTATTAACCTTTCCTAAGTTCTCATCCAGAACCAAATATTGCCTTTCTTTTTATATTTGTGTTCATTTGCTCTATGCATTTCTATATACTGTTATCACCAGGCATTCCCCCCATCCATAAGGTTCTATGTATCTTCATTAAATAGAATTTGCAGGTGGTCTTCTGTCTTAGTTACACTTCTCATTGCTGGGACAAATACTCAACACAGAATTTAAAGGAGAAAATCTTTATTATGGCTCACAATTTGTAGAGGTTCAAGTCCATAGTTGCCTGGCTTTAAGTTAGGGTAGTATCGTAGAAGGAAATGGCATAAGATAAAGAGTCCATGTCAGGGCAGCAATAAGGCAGCAAGTAGCAACTGGCAAGCCCCCCATTTCTCTTTTATTCCATCCAGGCTACAAGGATATGGGGTAGTGCCCACTCACACCCAGGCTGGGTCTTCCCATTATCCACACCTAGAATTGTGCTAAATCAATCAGTGGACTAATTTAGTGATCTCACATCCTCAATCCAAGTTCACACACTGTAGATCCAACCATCTCTGCAAAGCCCCAACTATGAGTGCACTAGATTTTGGGAAGACATCTAGATACCAGCCATAACACTTTGCCCATGTCCTCCAAAAGTCTCATGCACATTCCTTTACACAAAAGGCATTTAGTCTTATCTCTAATAAGAACCAAAATCATAACAGTTTCAAAAATATCCAAATCATGCTCCTCTGAGATTTAAGGCAAACTCTTAATTTTTAGGGTTTTCTCTTTTTCTTTTTTTCTGAGACTGGGTCTCACTATATAGTTAGGTCTGGCCTTAAACTCATTGTGTAGCCAAGCCTAGCCTAAAACTCATGTTGCTACTCCTGCCTCAGCCTCCTGAGTGCTGAGAATACAAATGTGCTGACAAAACTCTTAGTTTCAATCCTCTGTACAAATGAAAAAGAAAGTTAAAGAGTTCTAATATACAATGGCACAAGATAAACATTCCCATTCCAAATGGTACAAATGAAAGAAGTGGGGATAAGAACAAAATCCAGCAGGGCAAACATTAAGCCATGTAGTTTCTTGCCCACTATCTGGAACATTCTGTGGCAAAGTGTGAACTCCAAATGACTTGCGTGGCTCCATCTCTCAGGTACTGTCAGTGGTTGCATTTCTCATGGCTTCTTTCCTGGACTGGATTTCTTGCTCTCTGAAGATTTCCTTAGATAATCCATGTTCCTGGCTTCTCCAGCCTTCTGGGATCTCCACTGAATTTTTGGCTTCACACTCACAGCATGACACAATGCCATCTTGTGATCACAGTACCTCGCCTCAAAGGCCTTCCTCTAAAATCTTGGTGGAAACCTTCCTGACTCCATAACTCTTGCATTCTACATGCATTTAAAACTAGCACCATGTGTTTGATGCCATGGTCTGTGGCCAGCTGGAGCTGGCCAAGAAGCCAGGCTTCTTTCTCTCTTCACTATAGGGGATGAGTGCCTGGATTGCTGATCACTGTGAATCTGATCTGGAGGAATAATTTCCCTTGGCTGCTGCCATTCTAGAACATGGTGCTCTGGGGTTCTTGTCTCAAAGCAAAGTCATTCACCTTTGCAGTTTCGAGGATGCAAGGTGGGCTTTTGCCTGTTCTTGTGATGTCCTCAGGCCATCTTTTCTGTTTTGCACTTAATCAAATTCTCCTCTGATACTTCTTTGTAGAGACCATAACTTTAATGGAGCTTCCTTTCTGGCCAAACTCAAAGCACTTTAAATCACTTTGCTAGGGTCTTTCCTCCTGATTCTTAACATAAATCCATCTAAAACTCCCCAAAATGCCACTTCAACATTAGACTGCCTTGAAACTTCTTCCACAGGATTAGTCTGCTGCCCTTAATCTCAGTCTCAGACAAAATCTCTGGACATGGACAATATGCAGACAAGTTTTCTGCCAGAAAATAAATATAAAAATGTTCAACATTACTGGTTATTCGAGAGATGCAAGTTAAAACAATGCTGAGATCCTATCTCACCCCAGAAAGAATAGCTATCATCAAGAAATCAACAACCAATAAAACAACAACCAATGCTGGAGGAGCTGTGGGGAAAAATGAACATTTTTCCAGTGTTGGTGAGAGTAGACTGATAGAACCACTATGGAAATCAGTACAGAGATTCCTCATAAAATTAGGATTAAATGTTCCATTTGTCCCAGTTATTGCCCTTCTAAGTATCTTCCTGGAAGAATTAAAAACATCATACCACAGCAATATATGTGCACCCAAGTTTGTAGCAGCACAATTTGTAATATCTAAACCTTGGAAACAACCCAAATGTCCATCAGTTGAGTAATGGATAAAGAATATGTGTTTTTTAATATAATGGAGCACTACTCTGTCATAAAGAAGGATAAACTTGAGACATTTCTAGGTAAATGGATGCAACATGAAACCATACTCTTAAGTGAAATAAGTTGGACTCAAATGTGTAAACATTGCATTGTCTCCCTACTGTGTGAAAGTGAAAAAGTAAATAAGGACCCTAATGCACAATAGATATTGTAAAGTGGGAAGAAATTATTCAGAAAGAAAGAAGAACTAAGGTGAGGGAAAAGGGAAAGGAAGGACGAGGAAAGGAAAAAGTTATAAAAAGGATAAAATGGAAACAAAGTTTTGTAAATAAAGAAGGGAAGAGGAGTTGAAGGGAGGAGAGGGGATTAGGGAAAAAAGGGGAATCAAAATATATCACGTACAGGTACAAATTCTCTATGATGAATATGATCATTATGTATATCTAAAATGTACCGATAGGGGCTGGGGATTTAGCTCAGCAGCACAGCGCCTGCCTGGCAAGCACAACGTTGTGAGTTCGATTCCTGGTACCAGAAAAAAACTAAAAAACCAAGGGGAAAAAAAAAAAACAAATAAAATGTACCAATAAACTTTTTTAAAAGAGAAAATGAACAGAAAAAATAAATTTTCTGCCACAGTATAACTCACATGGTATGGAGTCCAACTACCACTGCAGTCCTTGTTTACAACCTGAAGTTCTTGAGTATTGTCTTTTCCAGCTGCATTTCTATCAGCATTCCGGTCTTCTAACCAGAATTTTCCATCAAATTCAGCTTACAGCACTTCAAGATTGCTTCTCTAGCCACTCTCTCTAAACCCTTCCAAGGTCTTCCTGAAGGCCAGTTTCTGCGACTCCAGGATCATATGGTCAGGCACAGTCACAGCAATGACCCCACTTCTCTGGTACCAAAATCTGTTTAGTTACACTTCTCATTGCTGAGACAAAATACTCAACACCTCCACCAGTTAAAGGAGAAAAGGCTTACCGTAGCTCAGTGTTCATGAGGTTTCAAAACTGGCTGGCTCCATGCAGGGAAGCATAGCAGAATAACATGATAAGGAGGCAATAAGACAGCAAAAACAAATCAGAAAATCTCCATTTTCCTTCTATTCCATCCAGGCTACAAGCATTTTTAGTAGTGCCACTCACACCCAGGATAGGCTTTCCCATTATCCACACACATAACCATGCTAAACCAATCAGTGGACTTAGTGATCACAAACCCTTAATCCAAGTCCACAAACATTAGACCCAGCCACCTCTGAAAATCCCACATATGAGCTTATGAGGCTTTATGGGGACATCTGGATACAAGCCATGACATCTTCCATCTGTCAGAAAAACTTGACTCAACTATATTTAACTGCTGGGCATAGTGGCACATGTCTGTAATCCCAGAACTCATGAGGCAGATGCAGGAGAATCACTGTGAATATGAGATCAGACTAGCCTACAAAGTGAGTTCAAGACAAGCTTAAACTACAGAGTGACACCCTGTCTCAAAAAAGAAAAAAGCAAAAAGGAAGAAAGAAAGAAAAAGAAAGAAAGAAAGAAAGAAAGAAAGAAAGAAAGAAAGAAAGAAAGAAAGAAAGAAAGAAAAACTATGCTTATGTATATGTATTTGTAAAAAAAAAAAAAAATCAATTCCATACCTCCTTGTAAGAGCCAAGGACGTAAAACAAGTAATCTTTCATAATTAAGTGTGCAGGTTCATTTACCTCTATTAAAAGATCCATGTGCACAAGCTTATTATGGGTCTTCTTTGCCATGGTATCAGAAATTCCTACAATATGATAAACAATTAAATAGTAACAAATGTTGAAATGACTCCATGTGAGGAGAATAAACTCACACAACTTGAACTACTTAGGAAGAACGAGTTGTCCTCTCCTGCAGGTGATGAAGAACTGAGAGATTCTGGAGTCACTGATGATGAGCACAAAGGGGCTGAATGCTGGGAAACATGAAGCCACAAGCACGGAGCTGTTCACTGTCCACTGGCCACGATTTGAAACTAGAGTTGACCAGATGGTCAAAATAATATAGACTGAGTAAAAGGTAACAAAGGAGCTCACCAGGATCAGGATGGTGCGTGTGGCCCTGGCCTCATGAGAAGGTCTGGAGGAGAGGCTGTGGCTGTGGATGTGTTGGACCCGCTGCCTGTGCCTGTGCAGGGCCAGGACCATGGAGCCGCTGGCCCATATCATGAAGCCCACACTGATGAAGTCAAGGGAGAAATATAAGAATGCATATAATGAGCTATATCTCTCTATCATTGTCCAGGAACAGTGTCCACAACTGGCTCTCACAGTAATGTTTTTGCAACTCAATGGACCATTCACTACTATAACAATAGATGAATTTATTGAGAGATTCTGAATCCAGCACAGGAAACAGCAGAAGCCAATGAACCTTAGGGATCTAATCTTGAGCTCCATCCATCTACAAATACTGGGGTTGAGCTTAATGGCCTGGAAGCCATTGAGCAGGCAGACAGTGCTGAAGGAAACCCCTGTGCCTACTCTGTGAAAATAGAAGACAAGTTTACATCCCACACTGTCCAGGAAATACTTCCACCCAAAAGCCACTATTGTTTGCGATATCCCTTTGGAGAGCAGGACCAAGGAGTTGGCTAAGACCAGTTGGTTGAGGATTAGGTCTGTGTGTCTCAACTTGTATCCAGTGAGCAGACAGAAGCTGTAAAAACAAAGGAGGAAAGAATTTCCAAAGATGCCAATCCCAGTCTGAGCAAGGAAGATCACCCCCAAGTCTAAGTTTCCTGCAACCATTGCATCAGAATCTAGGGGGTGCTGATTTCAGAAGAACCGGTGGAAAAGGAAGATCAATAAATGACCTCACACCAAGATGGATAGCACTAGTCTGTGTGTGTGCTTCCTCGTATTTTCTCACTCTAATTGGACCTGCAGGCTGTATCGTTATTTGCACAAAGGCAAGCACTGAACAGTGGAGTGTTCACCTCCAAGGACTTGGTTTAGACTGAGAGCACAAGGGCACCACAGATCTCTGCAGCAGCAGGCTTGAGTGCAGATCTCTGTGTACTGATCCAGTCAGTTGATGGAGACCACCTTGAGTGAGCTACAAATTCATAAATCGGTTTTCTATATTAAAAGTCTGTACCTGTCCTACCCTACATCCCTTGCCAGCTGATGAGCCAGCAGTTGGCATGAGGAAACAAACTCCTTATTCACTGATCTCAGCAGAAGTCTCTAAGACTCGTGATGCTGTTACACCTCAAAAGGCAAGATATGATTTCACCTGAGGACTCTCTGGCTCCAGTACAATATTCTATAAAAGTAAATGTTAACCCAATGGAAAAACAAGTTTCTCCTTAATCAGTGGCATATTCATGCAAAGGCTTGTTTCTTACTAGATCTTGCTTGTGTCCATGCCTTCCACTTTGCTGTTCCCAGGGTCTCCCTACACGCCCCCTAGAAAAGCTGTGTGAATTTAATAAAAAGTGAAAAGTTCAGAGACTCTTGGTCCTATCCAAATAAGAGCTTTCACTCTCTGGGCCCCATGGCGTTCTAAATTACTGTCTCTGTCTCTTTTATCCCTTGTTGTACCTTCAACCAGGTGATTGAGGGATTGATCAACCCCCATTATTCAGTGTGGTATCATTTTTTCTCCAAATGAGATTGAGAAATTAAAGAGTCACTTTGAGCTTACAGCACAATTGAAATTTGTTTATAGTGGTTTTGTCTACAGGAAAAACTAGGTAAATGAAGAAAATTTTGATCAGCTGAAATCTGCAATCCGGCAGAATTCACACAAGCCCACAACTCGAATATCGGCAAGTTACCACACTGCATCACATGGCAGGAACTGAATCACCCACTTGGAGTTTTACACCCTCGGGTCTGATTTTAGGCAACCTCCTGCCACCTCTTCACCTTAACTCACGAGCTGCAGGCCTTGTAACATCCACGTCAGAAAACAGTTTTCAGACTTTCTAAGGTGCCATATCTGTTACCATTTTTATATTTTCACACTTCTATCATGTGGATATCTGTTAGGTCATCTTAATACTCTAGGCTCTACATTTTAGAAGTTTCAGATGTCCCGGTAGCGGAGAAAAACCAAAACCAAAAAAATAAAAAAAAAAATAGAAGTTTCAGATGACATTTTAAGGTCCCAAAGAGTCCTCGGATTCCTGTGTAGAGTGCACAATGCTCCACAGTTCACGGGAATGCATGTGCTGCATGATACCAGAAGTCACTCATGGAATTTCCTCCAGGATGTAGTGAACAACCATGACGCCAACACAATGCAAGCTCTGTTTTCCAGTTGTGCAGAAGAAGATACATTTAGGGAGAGACGTTTAACAGTTTGGAAAGACAGGAATGAAAGTGTACATTGAAAATGTATAGTTTTGAGTTGATACAAATCTAAGAACTTTCAATAATGGTTAAACAATATTGAGGGGCTGGGGATTTAGCTCAGCGGCAAAGCGCCTGCCTGGCAAGCGCAAGGTCGTGAGTTCGATTCCCGGTACCGGAGAAAAACCAAAAAAAAAAACAATATTGAATCAACATGAAATTTTTAAATCCAAAACAGAAAGATGAACTGAATTTAAGAAGTCTACCTTGATTGTATGTCAATCTGGTGGTCTATCCAGAACAACAAAAAGCATTTACGTGGCTTCAAAAACCACATGACATAGACAGACACACACCTCTAACTGTAAGTAAAATACTTACATAAAGGCACTGTGATATCTGAATCACAGTAGCTAGTGTCATTGTCATTATTCTTTTTGATTTTTTGTTTTGGTTTGGGTTTTTATGAGGCACACGGGATAGAACCCAGAGCCCCACACATACATGACAAGCACTCTACCCTTGAGCTACATCCCCAGGCCTTTTATTTTGATATCATAACATAGTTTTACAAAATAGTACCGAGTGGAGTAAATTGAGTAAAACAGGTGGGGGAATCTCTCTGTATTATTTCCCATCACAGTACATAAATCATCAATTATGTCTCTAAAATTTTCAATTTGAAAACCTAGGAAGGACAGGGATGTAGAAAACTTATGACATATGTGTGAGACTAGGACTTCAATCCCTAATACCTCAGAAAATGAGTATATATAAGGCAGAAGAAAAACATGCCTGAGAAACTATCTTTATCATTACTATTTTTTGTTTTGTTTCATTTTGTTTTGTTTTGAGACAGGGTCTTGCTATGTAACCCCGACTGGCCTTGAAGTCACAGCAATCCTCCTGCCTCAGCCTGCCAAATGCTGGGATTACAGGCATGCACTGCCACGCTGTGAGTCATGAGACGCTATCTTAAATTTAGATTCGAAATCAAGTTTTGGTAAATACTTTGGTCAGATTCAAGGATAAACTTGCTTCCCAAAATGTGGCAATATTGCACTAAAATTAGTAATTTAAACAAAAATAGATGTGAAATTTAAACCTATTAGATATGAGAAATGATAACAAAAACTTAGCCTAATATAAAATTTATAGAGATATTTTTACAATGTAGATATATTATTTAGTATTTCCAATCTAAATGATAATATTTCTAACTCTTCTCAAGTAGCTACAAAGTATCACAATTATATGTATAGATAAAAATGAAAAGGAATGAAGACAATGGAAATTAATAAAGATTTTATGCTGAAAATGGACAGGAAGTAGAAAAGTCAGTGGCATGAAACAAAAAGCATAAAAAATAAATTCATATGTTTTCTGGTAAATGTAATCTATTCCTTAAGAAATTATCAATTTAATGCATTATAGAGGTCAAACTAGAAGCACGTACTATAGAAATAATACTTTTCTATTCTAAGCAGAAATACCTGTTTTCATCTCAATTAGAATTAATAACATGCTGGGTCTAAAATATGAAAAATGACAAATCTCTTTGAAAACAGTGGAATGCATTTTTATAATTTGTGAAATTTTCACAATATATGGTCCATACCAGTGACTTTTATTGCTATAGTAAATAACAAGCATTATATTAAACATATTAAAATTAAATGTAAAATATTTAGTTAAGTACAACACATAATAGGAAGTCAACAACAGTAGTCTCAGAAATGATATTACTAAGAAAATTAAAAGACAAAAAGCAAACGATGGCAAATATATGAACAGTCAGTACTTAGCATTATATTTACATGCTTAAAAATAAGTTTGCTTGGCAAATGAACATAAAAATTCCAGTAATATTGCAAAGAATAGCGCATTATTCTGAATCTAACATATATTAGCATGACAAAATATGATGGCTTACATTTTGGTAATACAAAATTTAAATTTTGTTTCTATCACAAACCACGATGAATTCACTGTTATTGAAAAACTGGAGTAAATTACAGGCCTGAAATCTAGAAGACATTTTAAACTTTTTATGCAGAAATGTATACATCTACACCATTTAAAAAACTGTTAGTCTTACTAATACACTATATTTTGGTACCCTTTCTTAAGAGTCTGAAAGTTGTGATTTTTTCAGAGGTTTATTTGGGATAAGAGAAGATCTAAATTTTTTTGCAATCTTATTTCAGTTGTGTTCGTCATTATGTACTGTAGTCATTAGAGAATAAAAGTGAAACATATTCATCAGTTGTCTGGTGGGGTCCTGAGTGTGAGGTCGTAGGGCCTCGCCTCACCAGCAATGATTTCTTGTTCTGTTGGATCCAAAGTACCTTACACAAGGACAGAGCGGGCTTCACGGGACACAAGTCCAGCAGAGGGAGCCTCCGAGCTCCTGGGGAAATCTCTCCTTGAGGATCCCGCACCGTACTTTGTGACGTCTGGGAGCAGCGGAAAGAGAGCTCGAGTGTCAAAGTGAGCTTCACCTTAATTTCATGCACCTGTGGTTTCGTGATTTTATATAACTTTTATGACAGTCTTCAAGGCTGAAAAGTGTAAGAAATAGTGTAACAAAAATAGTAAATAAAATAAAAGACAGAATAATGGAAAGGATCAGGCAGCATTTCAAGAGCTGTATCCAATAGCAGTGAAACAAGAAAGCCCACATCAGTAGAGCTCACCCTTGGAATTTAAGATATTTGTATAAAGCAGAGAGCTGTGCAGTTCTGACACTGCTGGGGTCATTGATCACTGTGGCCCCCACACCTACAGGCTCTTACAGGCAATAAGAACTCATAAATTCTCCAATCTGAGGGTGCTTTGAAGACACAGGAAGGATCTAAAGTGAGGCTCTTGCTCTTAGGCTAAAGGATGCATCTAGTTTTCAAATAAGGGGATCCGTAAAGTCTTCTGTTTTGGCTTTGAAAAAGAATTACCAAGTTGGACATGCAGTTGTGATGGAGATCCTGTCATTAATAGAGATGAGAGAGAAAGAGAGAGGTGGAGATCAGATAGAGGTAGACATGGAGAGACAGGTGGGTAGAGACAGACAGAGGCTGTAGATGCACAAAGCATTGGTCCAGAACAGCAGTCAAAGTCCTTGGAGAACAGCTGCTAATTCTTAGACTAGTGTGAGAATAAGCATATAGAGACTTTTAAAATCTGTTAAATATCTGAGTAACCAATGTGGCTGGAGATTTAAGGGCCCAGTTATTTTTCTCCACACATCCACAATCTTTTTTGCCATGTGCATCTTTACAAAATCATTTGTATAAATAACAGGGGAGTCTTCCACTGGTATAAACAAGAGGTCTGGCTAACAGAATTCTGTGAGTGATGGAAACTTAGAGACACACTGTCGAATACTCCATTTGGCACAACATGCCCCTGCAGAATCTACCGTAAAGTAAACAAAGAACAGTCACTGTTGCACACCAGTAAATGGTAGCACACAGATGCCAGTGTCTCCCAGTGTGGGGGATCCCTTCCCTGATATTATGAATGAATGTAGGTCTGTTTCCCTCAGTGCTCAGAGCGAGCCCTGAAACACGCAGTGTGTGTAGTGAGAGGTGAGTCCCGGGGTCTTTGAAAGACTGAGAGAGAGGAGACAGGTGAGATGTCAGGAAGCAATGAGGTGGCTGACAAGACTGGCAAGGTGCCTCTGCTTCCCTCGGGAGATGTCTTTTCTATTTGTATGAGTTGAGACAGTGCTCTTTCATCCATATATCTACCTGTCATCTGTCGGACTACCTATCCTATGTCACTGATCATCTCTATGTGTGTATCTATCATCTGCGTAGCATCTATCTAAATCAGCTGCCAATCATCTATCTTCTGTTGATCCATCATTTACTTGTATAAACTACCTAACATCTATCAAGCTATCATCCATTTACTTATCATTTACCTACCCATTATCTATCATCTGTGAATCTGTCATCTGCCTGTCTGTATATCATTCATCTATCATCTGTTTATCAACTATATACTGTATCTATTTGCCTATATATCAGTCATCTACCTATCATCTATCACACTATAGGTTTTTGCTTTCAGTTTTAGAAAGACAATTCTTTTAAAGAAGTTAATCTCATCATTGGTCATTCAAGAGATGCAAATTACAACAGTGCTGAGATTCCATCTCACTCCAGAAAAAATGGCTCTCATCAAGAATCAACCAATAACAAATGTTGATGGGGCTGCGGGGAACACTTCTCCACTGTTCGTGGGAGTGTAGACTGGTGCAACCACTGTGGAAGTCAGTGTGGAGATTTTTCATCAAACTAGGATTAGAGGCCTCATTTAACTCAGCTATTACCTTCTGGATGTCATCCTGGAAGAAGTGAAAGCATAATACCATGGTAATATATGTGCACCCATGTTTAACAGCACCAGTTTGTAATAGCTAAATCTTGGAAACAACCCAAATGCCCATCAACTAAGGAATGGATAAAAAATTGCAGTCTTTTTATACGAGATATTACTCAGCCATAACGAAGGGTAAACTTGAGACTTTTGCAGGTAAGTGGATGCAACTTGAGACCATACTCATAAGTGAAATAAATCAGACTCATATGTGTAAACATGCTG